GCCTTCTCCCTCCACTGAAGTGCACGCTCCTTCCCTGGAACCATCCCAACATTGACATGTCTTCCTCACCCAAAGCCTACCGCTTACATTAGGGTTCACCGGTGCTGGTGTGCAGTCTGGATTTTGACAGCCACCTGGTGGCATGTGTCCACCACAATAGCACAGCATATGACAGTTCCACTGCACCAGCAGCCCCGGGCTCTGCCTGCTCATGTGTCCTGGGTTTTCTTAACTTCTAATTTTTTTATTTTTTGGTTTTGCCCCCACCCCCTCCCATACCACCTACCCCGCCCCCTCCCTCTCCCCCCCCACCCCCTCAATACCCAGCAGAAACTATTTTGCCCTTATTTCTAATTTTGTTGTAGAGAGAGTATAAGCAATAATAGGAAGGAACAAGGGTTTTTGCTGGTTGAGATAAGGATAGCTATACAGGGCATTGACTCACATTGATTTCTTGTACATGTGTGTTACCTTCTAGGTTAATTCTTTTTGATCTAACCTTTTCTCTAGTTCCTGGTCCCCTTCTCCTGTTGGACTCAGTTGCTTTTAAGTTTTTAAGTTTTTTAGTTTCTCTGCATTAAGGGCAACAAATGCTAGGTAATTTTTTAGGTGTCTTACCTATCCTCACCCCTCCCTTGTGTGCCCTCACTTTTATCATGTGATCAAAGTCCAATCTCCTTGTTGTGTTTCTTTTTTGGTGGTGCACTTCAATACTTGGTAGAGATTTTTCAGTTTTATTAAATCACTGTGAAAGGTTTCATACCAAAAAGTTTCATCCATTCCAGTTTAAGGTTTGATAGATAAATTGAGATAATGCGAATGACCTGCTAGTCCGAGATAGTCACCCAAGTAACTTTTCAAGGAACTTAAGAGTTGCTGCTCTGATCTTAGGTAGAAAACATTTCTTTCTGAGTCAGTTCTTCAGGGAGAACATCCGACACTAATTAATACATAATGCCTTAGCAGCTGGGATTTGGAGAGCTTTACGTCTTTCAGTCAGTCATTAGTAGAAATTTGAACTTGAGCTTGTAGGAGTTGAGAAAGGAGAAATTATTCCCCACCTCCCTACTGGGCTTAGAACCCAGGACCTCTCCTGTGCTACAAGTGTTCTTATCACCAAGCTACCTCCCCACTCATTTTAATTTTGTTTTGAAGCAGAACAAGCTCTTGAAGAATACAAACTAACACTTTCTACATTTTCCAGAGGCTAAGACAGTAAATTTGGGGTACTGTATTTACAAAGTTGCATTCTTAGAAATAATTCAAAGGCTGTCTTGAAAAAATGTTATCTCCTTCCTAAATGATGCAAAAATTGTCTTCAGCCCATAATCCTAGCTGATTGGGAGGATTGTGGTTCTAGGCTGGCAGGGGCAGAAAAGTTTTCGAGACCCCATCTCAACCTAAAAAAGCTGGTTGGGGTGGTGCATGACTGTCATCCCAGCTGCAGTGGGAAGCCTAAAACAGGAGGATCCAGGTCAAGGCCTGCCTGGGCAAAAATCGAGACCCTATCTTCAAAATAACGGGAGGAAGAGGGTGCTGGAGGCGTTAGAGCACCTGCCTTGCAAATGTGAGGCCCTGTGTTCAACCCCAGTACTACCAAAAAAAAAAAATTGTCTTTGGGCCTTAAATAGTATGCCTTTTGGAACTCTATGTAAAAACTACAGATTGACTTAAGGTATTTACTTACTTTTTGTGTTTCTGGGAATGGAACCCAGAGCCTCATGCCTGCTGGGCAAGTGCTGTACCACTGAGCTACAGCCCCTGCCCTGATCCTAGGGGATTTTTTAAAATTGTTATTTAAGGTTCCTTGCTTTGGTTTGAACAGGATTTTTAGAGCTAAAGGTTTTCTCCTCTCCCTTAGTTTCTTGCTGGCGGGGAACATCCAAGTGCGTTCCAGTGTGGTTGAGTCACTCTGTCTAAAGGTGGCATTGCCATTTCATAATCTCAGTGTCGCAGCTCATCTGTGTCAAGTAGACAAGCTTCTCAGAAGCCCCAGGATGGCCTTTGGGCTCTGGAGCCCAGCCTTCTTGCAGCAAGGAGACCTGGCCGTATAGTGTGCTGGTGAGATCACTTGAGCTTTAAATAGCGCCTCGAGTTGAAAGAAGGCCAGCATGATTTAGGGGGAAAGGCCAGCACCTGATCTCTGTGGCCTCAGGCCCTCAAGCTTCTTCTGGCATCAGAAACACACATTAGGTTGCCCTGCTGGCAGCTTGTGGCCTGAGGTGCTTGCACAGGAAGGCCTCAGCCGTGTTCTTGGCTGACAGCTAACATGGCTCAGCCTCATGGACGGGAAGTGATGTAAGGTAGCTAAGAAGTGTCAGGCTGGAGGAGAGCTGAAACAGAAGCAATACTAGACACAGGAAAGTTAGCTAGGACATTGTTAGGTAAGAACAGCAGAGACCCTCGTGCAAGAACTAAGGGATGAAAGTGGCAAGGGTGTCTCCAGGCAAAAATCCAAGCAAGGCCCAGAGAAAGGAAACAGCTTGCCCCCCAAACAATAGAACTGCATGGTCTGAGGTGTGAGCAGTGGCTGAATAAAAAACTGGATGTTAAATGAGAAGTGTCCTTACTCATCCAGAAGCTGTGTGCCCTGGGGCTCTGCAGCCACCTCTTGCCTGACTGACTGCTCTGAGTTCTAGAAGTTCCACAACCAGGGTTTTTCTTACTCTTCTGTTCTCTGGCATTATATTGGACAACCAATAATGTGTAAGGAAAGGTTCACTTAAAAGAACTGGTCCTGGGGCTGGTGGAGTGGCTCAGGTGGTAGAGCACCTGCCTAGCAAGTGCGAAGCCTTCGGTTCAGTTCCCAATACCAGGGGAAAGAAGGATGTCTTCTAGACTGCATCCCACTGCCCTCCAAGTCTCCAAGCCATGCAGTGTTAAGTGGGTGTGATAGGCACAGGGAACAGGATGGACTCAACAGAGGGAGGAAGGTAGGGAAGGGAAGACTTAATGGAGGGTGGATTAACTGGATTTTTTTCTCTTTCGCACTGTATTGGGGGGTGGAAGCCAGGGCTTCTTCGTGCATGCCAGGCAGGCACCACATTTTCAGTGCCTTGATTTTTGAGAGTTCTTCAAGTTTTCCGGGGAGTAATGCAGGTAGATTTTCTAGATAGGGAAAAGAATAGACAGGTTAACGGAAGGGTGATGTTTTTGCAATTAATTTGTTGGATCTGGAGCAGAGGTTCCTGGGAGGATGCAGCTTGGGACGGACTTTGTCTTCTGTGAGACTTGCAAGACTTGCAAAATAGGGATTGACCTAAGAGTCCAGCTGTCATTTAGCTCTCGGCTCAATATATGGAAGTTTAGATGAAACAGAAGCCCAGTTAACCAGGTGGGTAGTGGTTTGAGACCTCAAAACAGGAGGAAGACTTAGCGCTTGATTCTTAGACAATAGTTTCATCAGGTTGTCAGACCTTTGATGACTCTGATATCACAGAAATCACGAATATGGGATAGTGTAAGTGATGTCATTTATTTTTGGGTAGGACTGGGGTTTGAACTCAGGGCTTCTCGCTTGCAAAGCAGGTTCTGTATGGCTTGAACCACACCTCTAGTCCATTTTGCTCTAGTTGTTTTGGAGATGGAGTGTCATGATCTATTTGCCTGGAACTGGCTTCAAACCACAATCCTCTTGATCTCACCTCCCAAGTAGCTAGGATCACAGGCGTGAGTCACTGGGATCCTAGTTATAGATGTGTTTCATTTTTTACTTATTTTTTCGGTGAGATTGGGGGCTGAACTCAGGACTTCGCACTTGGAGTGATGCAGTTTTTCGTTTGGTAGTTGTGTAGAGCATTGGATGGATGTTGCTTTAGCTTCCCCAAGGTGAGCAGTCTTGGGGATGGTGAAGACAGAACCTTTGCAGATGCCCAGGGTGAGAAGGCAGTAGTGTGTGGCCATGCCAGCCTGGAAGGATGTACTCATCTCTCCCTTCTGTATTGCTCCTTGTAGTCCGTCAGACACTGCCACAAATGCATGCTTCACCAGTTGTTCAAGTAACACGGTGGTAAGACACAATCCTGTGTCCCTTTCACCTTTTTTTTTCTGATACAGAGGTTTGAACTCCGGGTCTACATCATGAACCACTCCACCAGTCCTTTTTTTGTAATGGTTTTTTTTTTTCTTCAAGATAGGGTCTTGAAAACTATTTGCCTGGGCTGGCTTTGAACCGTGACCCTCCTGATCTGTGCCTCCTGAGCAGCTGGCATTACAGGCGTGATGCACCGGCTTGACCTTTCTGAGGGTTGTAATTCATCTGGTCTTAGCAGAAAAGCGTCCTTGTTCTCAAAGGTCTTCGGGAAGTAGACTTAGTATATTTTACCCAAAAGGCATCAGACTGCAGTTTAGTGGACAGAGCAAAGTTAGGCGGAAGCTGTCTGTAATCTTTTCCTAAGAACTTGAGGTGCCTAAGCCACCTACACTTAAAATCCTCAGCATTGACACATTGGCAGTGTCATAGGACAGAACTGTTGACCTTGACACTTCAGATAAGAATTTCACTTGTCATCTAAGACCTAGACTTTACAGTTCTTTCTTAGAACAGCATGTGCTAACTACTCGGTTTTTTTTTTTTGCAGTACTGGGGCTTGAACTCAGAGCCTACACCTTGAGCCACTCCACCAGCCCTTTTTTGTAATGGTTTTTTTCTTCGAGATAGGGTCTCAGGAACTATTTGTCCGGGCCAGCTTCAAACCTCGATCCTCAATCCTCTTGATCTCTGCCTCCTGAGTAGCTGGGATTATAGACATGAGCCACCGGAGCCCGGCTACACTCAGGTCCTTTTCTAAGGAGGACACTGGAGTTGGGTTCCCACTGATCCCCCTGCATTTTCTGCCCTCCTCTGTTGCTTATTACGCCTCCATCCCCCTTCCCTATCCCCACACTACCTACCTTCTCTGTTAGTCACCTGGTAGATCTGCTGTGGTGTGCTGGCGGGAGATGGGACTCGCCAGTTGACATCGTCTGTACTGTAACACCTCTGTTCCTTGCTCCTGCAGGTGACAGAGCTGAATGAGCCCCTGTCCAATGAAGAACGAAACCTCCTGTCTGTGGCCTACAAGAATGTGGTTGGAGCGCGCCGCTCCTCCTGGAGGGTCATCAGTAGCATTGAGCAGAAGACTTCTGCCGATGGCAACGAGAAGAAGATCGAGATGGTCCGCGCCTACCGTGAAAAGATCGAGAAGGAGCTGGAGGCTGTGTGTCAGGATGTGCTGAGCCTGCTGGACAACTACCTGATCAAGAACTGCAGCGAGACCCAGTATGAGAGCAAAGTCTTCTACCTGAAGATGAAAGGGGACTATTACCGCTACCTGGCCGAAGTCGCCACTGGAGAGAAGAGGGCGACTGTGGTGGAGTCTTCTGAGAAGGCCTACAGTGAAGCCCACGAGATCAGCAAGGAGCACATGCAGCCGACTCACCCCATCCGGTTGGGCCTGGCTCTTAACTACTCGGTTTTCTACTACGAGATCCAGAACGCCCCGGAGCAAGCCTGCCACTTGGCCAAGACCGCCTTCGACGATGCCATTGCTGAGCTTGACACTCTGAACGAAGACTCCTACAAGGACTCTACTCTGATCATGCAGCTGCTCCGTGATAACCTCACGCTCTGGACAAGCGACCAGCAGGATGACGACGGCGGCGAGGGCAACAACTAAGGCCCGGGGACTGGCAGCGCACGCCACGCTACTACTGCAGTCTTTATTTTTCCCATGAGTGGGGGTCGGGTGGGGGAGGGAAAGGGAGGGCTGACCTTCCCAGGGAGAAACCCACGACCTGTCCTGTCTTTTGATCGCCTCTTTGACATTTTGCCAAAATACCACTAGTAGAAAGTCAGCCTCACGCGGGCATGCGGACTGTTAGGTAGGTTCTTGCAGGCGGAGCTGTCTGTCTTTAACTTAACTTATTGCTAGGTGATAGGGAATTGAGGTGAAAAGAAAGCGCAAATGGATGGCCCTCATTCAGTAAGTTCTGTGGTTCCAGTAAGGATTTTTATGTTTATCTGCTCTTGTCCTAAGTTTCGGGTACCTTCTGTCTGTGTTAGCTCTGCTTTTGTTTCCAGGGTGTTCTCTACCAGGCATGGCATAGTTTAACTCTCCCAGTGGACAGACTTGGGGCATAAGGTCTGCTTGTCCTTATGGTTTAGGCCTGGCCGGTTTTCTGGTCTCTGATTAGTTGACAGTATTAACACTAAATTGCAGTTTACAGTATTTCTGCATTACAGCCATATGTGACATCAAGCCATTGATCGTGACTTTTCCTTTGCTGTTGTTTTGGCTTTCCGTCCTTACCGTTTCCAGGCTGGGTTTGCTGTTTGTCTGTCTCCCGGGCGAAGAGACCTGACTGAGGAGGATCAAACTACTTTAGGATTTGGTTAATAGGTGCTTGGCAGGTGGCTGTGGGATTCTTTTTTTTTTTTTTTTTTTCTCCTTCTTTCCTCTTACCGTAAATCCACAACAATTATTAATCATTTTAATAGAAATGTTAAGTACCACAAAAGTAGAGAAAAATTCAGGTCTGTATGTCATTTATTGTATTGGTATTTTCAGAGACTCTCCTCCTGTCGCAGTGGCCATGGCTCCTTCCTCAGGGATCACACTGCCATCTGTTTCCCTCTGCGCTTGAGGCTTCGTCACTGTGCCTTGTGCCGAGGCATGCAGGTGACTTGAGGCTATTGCATTGCAGAGGCGGGGCGGTCCTTTCTAGAAATTGTGGCTCAGAGTGGACAGTAACTCAAAAGGAAGCACTCCCCTCACGACATCTGTCCAGTTTCCGGAGCCTGGCAGTGTCAGCTTTTCCTCCCTGAAACACTTCCCCAAGTGCTCGGAGGAAGACAGCTAGGTCATTACCAGGTAGTAAGTACCAACTCCTGTTCCACCAGACTCCCTCTCCGCTTTTTCTTAAAGGAAGCCAAAAGCTGGAGGGTCACTCTCCCTTGCGCAGTCTGTAGGTGGGACAGTTGAAGGAATTTTCATCTCTATTTTCAGTTAACTGTAGATCCCTCCTTCCCATTTGGGATAAATCTGTCTGGAAACATGACCTGTTACATGTTAGCTGCCGTGTTTTCTTTTTATTTTAATTTTTCTGGTTTTTATAGAGTCAGTAATTGTGTGGACTCCCAAACTGGGTTAGGGCGCTAGACTTGCTTTGTTGTGTTCAGGAAGGAGAGTGTGAGTAGCAACTGAGGCAACCCAGCAGATGCTTTTGCTAAAACCAAAATCAAGCTCACCATTGTGAAATGAGTGCGTGTAACAGGAGTGCAAGTGACAGTGACGCTGGAACAATGATGACAACCATAGGATCAGTGTACTCTGTAGTATTGCACAGTTTACCCAGCATGACTTTCCTTAGAACATCTTCCTTATGCCAGAGCGGATGTCCCCGTTAATTGAGGTCTGCAGAGGACCAAGCAAAGACAGCTTGGCGCTCTTGTGCCATTTCAGGAGCCTGGAGTCATTGTCGTGGATGGAAAACACTGGCTGGGGGTGGGGTGCAAGGGGGGGCGCTCCCTAACTCACCTTAACGTCAAGTGAGCAGTGTTGTGTCCTTCCTTGTGGCGTTTGCAAATGATTTACTGGAATTACAAAACCTCTTTTTCCTTTAAATTTCAGCGTTGGCTGTGGCTGCTTTACAGAATAATGCGAGGTAGAATCACACCAGAGGGCTGGAACTGAAGAGGGAGTGGATGGGAGACTTGGTATTTAAGCAGCTTGAATGGTTCCTTTTCTTTTCTTCATCTCTAAAGAACTGCACTTGCCTATGATGCGGTCTGTCCTGTGAACTGAGTACTTCTCCATCACTCTAGCTACGTACCGTGCATGCTAGTGTTGTGTTTCCTATGCAGTAGCTTGAAATTAACTTATACTGTAGGCGTTATGTACTCCTATGACAAAAAACAAAAAAAAAAAAAAAAAAACCTTAAGTCTTCAAATTTTTTAAAGTTTTTTAATTTAATTTTTTTTTTTTCCTTTTGGGGGTAAAGTTTGCTCTACCAAATAGTGATGTAACAATTGATCCGTTTGGATGTTGCTATATGACATGCAGTTATATATTTTGTTTTTAGGGGTGGGGGGGGCAAAAGAAACACCAGTGTTAGCTTAATCTTAATGTCTGGTGTTTGTCATGGTGAAATTATAACTATTGCAGTGTAGGAGAACACCGACTCTGTTCTCTGAATGAGCCTTTGTGCTTTTTGTCATGTTATGCAGTGAACTATTTTTAAGGTCTGATCAGTGATTATTTTCTCCAACTCCGTGTTTCTCCAAGGAATTATTTCGCACACGGACCATTCTTAGCAGTTTTCCTCAGTGATGGAATATCATGAACGTGACTCATTATGTAGCTGTCGTACATTGAGCAAATAAACTTACAGATCTGATGTCAGTGCTTAGTTTCATTGAATGAGTTTAACTTGTCCTTTGCTTTTGAAAGTTGGATTGAATGTGGCTGTTCTCTTCTGCCACCCAAGGAATGAGGTTGGGTGGTGATGGGGGCCAAGATACATAAGAACAGCAAGGGCTGGGGTGGAGCTTTTGCCTAGCCTGGGCAAGGCCCTGGGTTCCATCCCCAACACCCAAAAAAACAACTGGGTGCTCTGGAGGTGGGGAAGGAAAATACTGAATTTAAGGCCACCCTAGGTTACATATCAAGACCCTGTCTCCAAAAAAAAGAGAGAATTAAAAATCAAAAAATCTGTGAGTCTTTTGGACTTCCTATTAATCTCTTACAAAAATGTGTGTGTTCATGCCGGATGTGGTGGCTCACGCCTATAATCCCAGCTACTCAGGAGGCAGAGATCAGGAGGATCACATTTTGAAGCCAGCCTGGGCAAATAGTCCTCGAGACCCTATCGAAAAACCCAACACGAAAAAAGGACTGACCGTGGTTCAAGTGATAGAATACCTGTCTAGCAAGTGTGAGGCCCAGATTCCAAACGCCAGTACTAGGAAAAAAAACCGGGAAAAGTGTGTCACGTTTAGGGGTTGATAACGTAGTTGTTACCAGTGCCCTGTACTGAGTGAATTTGCCTGTGTTGGGTCACTTGTCACCCTTGAAGAGAGCCACTGCACGAGTAGTACAGAACTGCCAGTGACCGAGGGCCTGGGGTGCACTACTCACTGATGACCCGTCATTGGCCTTCTGAACGTTGGTGCCTCCTGACTTCAGTGTGCTACCCCAGGCTGCTTCTGTGCTGCCAGAGAGACGAGGGAGCTGCGTAGAACTGGACAGAGCTCCTATGGTGTGAGAGTTACGGAGGGTAGAAAAGGAATCAGACTTCCTGCAGCCCGAAGTCCAGCCAGCGTCACAGGCTCTTCAGAAAGGGCAGGGACTGTGAGGGTGAGACTCCAGTCACCCTTGTTCCACCAGGGTAACTGTTAAGGGTGCCTGGAATCTGCCCAAAAGTATTGCCTCACACATGTACTTCATTTTGTTCTGTAGAGACAGTCTGTGGCTGGTGCTTGAGCCATGCCCCCCTCCCCCCTTTTTTTTTTTTTTTTTTTTGTTTTGAGATAGTGTTCTGGCTATGTTGCCCAAGCTTGTGTCAAACTCTTGAGTCACCCTTCCCAGTAGCTGGGACACTGGGCACATACCACTGTACCCAGCTATCCAGTTTAAGATTTCTCTACAGCTGGGTATAGTGGTACACTCCTGTAATCCCAGCTAGGCAGGATGAGGATTGTGGTCTGAGGCCAGTTAAGGCAAAAGTGGAAGACTAATAAAAACACTGAAAGCAAAAGGACAGACATGGCTCAAGTGGTAGAGCGCTTGCCTAGCAATCTTACGGTTCAGTCCCCGTACTGTTTAAAAAAAAAAGAAAACCACCACCAGGTGCCAGGGGCTCACACCTGTGATCCCAGCTACTCAGGAGGCAGAGATGAGGAGGATCACAGTTTGAAGCCAGCCCGGGCAAATAGGGAGACCCTATCTTGAAAAATAAGCATCACAGAAAAAGGGCTGGTGGAATGGCTCAAGGTGTGGGCCCTGAGTTCAAACCCCAGCACCTCAAAATAAAACAAAAATAACCCCATCAATTTCCCTAATTCAAAGTTCTCAAACTTCTGTTTTTTAATTTCAGAACTCCTTTAGTTAGCTCTGAAGAGCTTTTGTTTATGTGGGGATGAATCTTACAAAAAACTAGAAATGAGAAGTACTCATTTGTTTAAAAATAATAACTCATTACACATTAAATAGTTTCTTGAAAAATAATTGTTTTCCAAAACAGGAATAGCATCATTTCACCATCTTACTGGTCTCTTAGTTAAGCCACCTGCACTCACAGGTTCACGGACACTCCTGCACAACAAATCCTACTTTGAGAAAATTTGGTTTCACAGCTAAGTAACAGGGAAGGCATGTCCCTAGAGAGTGTCCTGGCTGGACTAGAATAAGGTAGGGCAGTCTCATGCTTAATGAATTAGTGCTTTCTGGCTTAGCCATCAGACAAGGTCTACTAGCCCAGGCTGAATTTGAACTGGAGGTATTTTGGCAGCAGTGGGGCTGGATTCCGGGCCTCATGGTTGCTAGGCAGGTGCTCTACCACTTGAGCCACTCCACCAGCCCTTTTTCTGTGATGAGTTTTTTCGAGGTAGGGTCTTATTAACTATTTCCCTGGGCTGGCTTCCTCCTGACTTCTGCCTCCTGAGTAACTGGGATTACAGGCTTGTACCTCTTGGTCAGTTCATTCTAGAACTTTAACAACTGCCAGTAGGGTGGGGCAGTGAAGTATAAATGATACGCAGGGATTGGCCCACTGTGCCTGATCCCCAGGGCACAGTTCTCGTCCCAAGAACTTTGGGGGTGGAATAGAGGCTATCAAGTGCATTACTCCCCTCCCACCCCACCCCTGCTCTATTTCTGCGTGATTACCACAAGCATTGGCCTCTCTGTTGGTCAGCTGAAACTGCCTGTTGACTCACCCGATGATCTGAGTGGCTAAGAATGGCAGTCCAGGTCTCCAAGCAAGCTTGAGAAACAACTTCTGAAAACTAGCTGGGAGTTGACATTAAGTGGCCACTGCCCTAATTAGATCATTAAAATGTGGTGTACCAACTAGCTCGTTAGCTTGCTGCTTAGAGATTTTCCAGTTTTGCTGTGGATGGATGTCAAAGTTGAAAGGCCACACACAAACCCCCCCTCATGATCACCTGTAGTCGGTGAGGGAAAGGGGCTTTGGTCACTCAGGCCAGACAAATGAACCAAGATTTCCCAGGTTAAGAGGTTGGAGCTGAAGCTCAGTGGTAGCCTAGCTATCATTATTGAGGCCCTGGGTTCTATCCTCAGCACAGGAAGAAAACTCAAAAATCCACATTATCTGTAAAGTAAGAGCCAGGTGCTGGTGGCTCATGGCTATAATCCCAGCCACTTGAGAAGCAAGAATAAGGAGGATTGGGGTTCAAAGCCAGCCCAGGCAAATAATTTGAGAGACCCCATCAGGAAGCAGGGCTGGTGGAGTAGCTCAAGTAGTAGAGTGCCTGCCTAGCAAGCATGAGGCCCTGAGTTCAAATCCCAGTACAGTAAAAAAAAAAAAAAAAACTTTACCATTAATCTGGTTTCTTGTCCCATCATAATGGGGAAGTTATCCTACTACTTTTTGGCTCTTAGATAAAACCTTCTGCGTCTTTTTGTTCTCTCCTAACCTGAACCCAGGTTTTTGGGATGAGGTTTCCATGGTTGTCAGAGCTATGTCCCCAGCCTTGGTTGTCAGTTTTGTTTATTTTGGCAGGACTGGGGTTTGAACTCAGAGCTTCGAGTTTCCAAGGAAGTCGCTCTACCACTTGAGCCACACCTCCAGCCCATTTTGCTCTGGTTATTTTTGGAGATTGGGGGGGGAGGGTATCACAAACTATTTGCCTGGGCTGGCCTTGAACTGTGATCCTCCCGATCTCAGCCTCCCAAGTAGCTAGGATTACAGATGAAAACCATTGAGCATGGCTGGATGTCATTTCTTTTTTTTTTTTTTATGATAACTGGGATTTGAACTCAGGGCCACTCCACCAGCCCTTTCTTTTGTGTTAGATATTTTCCTAATCCTGAGTAGCTAGGATTACAGGTGTGAGCCAGCAGTGCCCAGCTGCTTGTCATTTCTTAAAAGCCAGATTGAGAAGTTTATTTCTGATCCCCTTGGGTTTATCACAGCAAAGGTGACTTCCATTTTACTTGCCTTCCAAGAGACTTTTCTTTTTCTTTTTTTATTTTATATTTTATTTTGATGTGCAGGGGCTTTGCCTAAGTTGGAAGGCCGCTGTTCCTAAAACATTGCTTGCTGGAAATATGGTGGCCTCTCAGTGATGAAGAGGCAGTGAAAGAATGAAAAAATCCTCTGGCCCAGAAGATTGACTAGAAATAGATACGAGGTAGGTTTAGCAGTACAAGCTGGGTAAACTAAAGGACCCAGTAGCTTTTAACTGACTGCAAGCATTTTGGGTGAGTCCGCTGACGTCTTACCTCCCTACCCAAATCCCCAAGAATAAGATGCTACACCCCACCGCTGGGGCGGAAGGAAAAGAAGTAACGGTGTTTTAGGACTTACATTTCTTTAGCCAATTACTGGCAGGGCCAGCATTTAGCTGGATAGGTATAGGTATTACACAGAACCAAACAACCTCGACCCATGCCTTGGGGGTCTCGCCACCCAGGGATGCACCAGCGACCACAGTCGCATTACCCTGGTTACCAAATGCTGCAGCGATGGGGGCTGGGAGGGGAGGGCTCAGCATCCCTCCTGGCCCAGGTGCTGGACTCGGGCGCCCTCTTCCTCTGCTGCCCCCTGGTGGACACCTACGGTTCTGCAGCTACTCCCTCCCCCGGGGCCGCCGCCGCCTCCTTCCTGCAGGCCCTGGGGCTTCAGCCGGGCTCTGCTTCCTTTCAAGCCATCACGCTACCAGATGGCGCCCAGACCCTGGACCGCAGGGCTCTCGAGCCCAGTCCACCCTCGGCCCCAACCCATCTGGGTACAAAGGGTTGTTTCTGGGAACCTCCCCTCTTCCGTAACGCCTGTGCCCCAGAAGAAGGATTTTGCTGCCGGCATGTCCCACGGGCTCCTTTAGTACTGGCGAGCCGAAGGTCCTCCGTGCTCCCGACGTCTTAGACCGATCACCCTGGTAGCTGTCACCCGTGGCCCAGGTACCCGGATGTGAGTCGGGCGGGGCCGCGGCTCAGTTTATAACCCCGCCCAGAGAGACAGCGGCTTTTCAGCTTGGGCGTGGCAAGAGCCAATCAGAAGTCGGGCTCTCCACCGCGCAGCCAATGGCCGGCCTGTTGCTAAGGCTGGGGTCCCTGCTCCAGCATCTGCCAGTTCTGCTGCCCCAGGGCTGGATTCGTTTCTGTCCCTGCCCTGTCGCCACCGCAGAGCTTTTACCTCTATCTTGTCACCCTTCG